GGGACAACATTACATCCAGAGACCATTAAACTCAGATTCTAAAATAAAGAGATGTGAACTTACCAAGTAGATATCTTCGGGCGGACCTACTACCTGATTTAGCTTATTGTTTCTGGGCTGGAAACCTGTATCATGAGTATCAAATTCTGTTTTTCATTAATTTTTCTATATTTCTGTTATATTTTTGATATCATTCAACACTAAGCATTCCTCCTGTATAACCAACTCTTGTCTGTATTTAACATTACAGAAGGACTCGTCATAAGCACTGCTTGCATACGAGTATAACAGAAGAATAATAATAATAATAATAGACTTTTCTTATTATATAAAAAGCAGGCTCAGAATATGAATTCAAAGAATCTCTTTCATCATTCATATATATAGTTTCAAAAATACATTTCATAAAATGTGTATTATATTCTATATTCATTTTATTGATAAAGAAGAATAACAAAGGTTTCATCTGATCATATAACATTCTTTCAATTTCTCAAGATTCAATTCTTATATTTCAGATAAAATTGAAGTTAATTTAATTGCATCTTTTTAATGAGTTATAACTTCTACATAGACTTTGTTTTTTGAAAGTTTGCTTTGTGAAGAATCCTTCATATAATTATAGAAGATATCTCAATTTTTTCATTACTGAATTCATTGACAAAATCAGTACAGCTCTTTTCTCATTCATAATGATATATCAAACCTTTACAAGAATAGCATTTTTAATGCTATCATTTCCCTAAGTTGCTCAGCTGGATTTGGGGGCATTTTTAAGTCATTCATTGCAAAGTATAATATGAAGCAGTTCAGAGTTAAATCCACATTCAATTGCATGTTTATATATACAGTTGATTTGACTCTTTGAGATCTTGGTGATTTCTGTGATTTCAGCATTTGACTTGCCAAAATAGGGTGATTTAAGAGCCACCACAAGAGCTCTTGTGGCAATATCAGTATTGGGTGCCATATTTTAACAGTCATGAATTGTCAGATGGGATGCCAAAGATGAAAAATTAGAGAAGAAAGAGGAATCCATTCTTAATAAGTGGCAATCTCATATAAATAGAATGCGGGGTGATTTGAAGCTAAATGTAATTACTCATTAAGACATGGTGGCGCTTCTTAGCGGTATAAATGGAATCTGAGCGGCGCAATTCTTTTGATAGCGCCCTCCGTACAACGAAAGGAAAGGGAAGGAAAGGGGATCTAGACAACGGGATGCACATGATTAAAGCACGGGCGAAGTAAATAACTTTCTTTCTATCTCTCGACAGAGCAATTGAAAAAAGTCTGGTTGGATGACACCACTAAATTCGGAGCTTCTTGAACTTCGGGGTCTGGAGCTATTAAAGTTTTCATTCTTATTTTTTCCTTTTTGCCCTTTTTTTTTTTTGTTTTTTTTGCAGAGGCCGGTGACGATTAGTTCGGGACAACCAATTTCGACACAGCTACTCCGTACTCTGGCCAAATACCTTTTACTCAATCCCGAGTGCAGCTTCTCGTCGGGTATTTGGTTCAATGGAGCTGCAGACTGTCAGACTGTCATGTCAGACTGTCAGACTGCCGGTTCGTCAGGATGCTCTCAAACGTATCAATCAGGTTTTGCACGAGGTTTTGCACGCGGTTTGACATGGGCTAGACGCCTTGTCTCAAGACAAAGTTTAATTCTGCAGACATTTGCATGGACATCTCTGGCCAACCTACTCCGTAGTCCCGCTAGTGCGATGGATTTTATTTTGCACTGCGGCCGCAATGGCTGAACTCTCGGCGACATCCCGCCTGAGAGGAAGGATAACATTGTCCTGAAATGGTCGGCTGCAGGCCAGAGTTGATCAGATGCTGACAATCTCCTCAACTTTGCTTGAATAGAGTCCGGGATGCTGCTGAGAAAGAGAGGAGAATTCAGCGTTATTATAATCCGTCGTTGATCCCACCACGATTCTTTTGATTTTGAGGATTTAATGAGTTGTTTCCCTTCAACGTCTCTCGGCTGCCTGTCGCGGTGAAACCAGCAAGCTCAAAGCACGCTCTCGTTCCAGCGCCCCACCACGGTGGTCCCTGAATAAACCTGTTGAAGTAGCTCGGCAATCAATTAATTGGGTACGGAGCACGCATCCAGTCTATGCAAAGTGAGTAGCGGGTATATCGTGGCAGAAGAAAATGCTCGTATCCAGAAATGCATTATTTATTTGCCCGCAAACAATGCGTGTAGCAAAAATATGGGCAGAAACGGGGGAGAATTCTTGAAGATTTAATTCCCACAATGTTGCTGAATCGGTGCACAGGCTTCACCAGTCGATCATATTTGGCCGAAGCGCAAAGGATACCCAAATCGCCATATCTCTCTCCCCTTGCGCCTTCGCAGAGAAAACTTAGCTTCGCGATATATTTTGGATTTACCAGCTTAATCGACTCCTCCCCTCGCCCCGGTTGTCCCCCATCCAATATACTCCTTCTGTCAACTGGCTAGATCTATCGGCCGTTCCGTGATAGACAATACAAACTTCCAAAATCCCGCCAATTGGCCAAGTTTTTACGCCCACGAGAGATCTAAAACTCGCGCTCCATCGGTATTTGTACACCTCGATTTTCGGACGCGGTGAAGTTATAAGTAACTGAGCTATTGAGGCATGATATATAAGGTCAGACCAGTTGGAATCTACTTCTACTGAAATACAATGGGCAAAACCGCGGTTGAAAGGGAGATCCGCGAAGACCAAGGAGAAGGAGCTAGTAAAGACCATAATTCGACCATTCTACATGATGTCGAACAGGGTGATGAAGTCGATATGGAGACAATCGATCGTGTTTATAGGTATGTGTTGGATGGTTGATGGATGTACCAGCAACGGCTGCAGGGGAGAGGGCCTGTTAACATTCCCTCTATCTAGGAAAATCGATTGGCGAATCATCCCGCCATTTTGGACTCTGTACTTTCTTTGCGCAGCGATCCGTTCAAATATCGGGCTGGCCCAGACCATGAACATTGACCGACACCACGACCTTGGCAGCGTACTGAACATAACTCCGCAACAAGTGTCCACTAGTTTGGCCCTGTTCTATGTCTGCTACGTGCTCTTTGATCTGCCGTCCAATCTCATTATGACGAGGTTAAGTCCTCGTGTCTGGATGAGTCGCATTGTTACCAGTGTTGGTGTCATTGGATGTTGTTTTGCTGCCGTCAAAGCAGCGTGGAGTTTATAGTATATATCGCCCCTCCATTTCATATTGCATACTGTACGCAACCGACCAAGGCTAATTCGATTTCCTTAGCTTACTTCGGCTCCTGCTTGGAATTGTCATCGCCGGCATGTGGCCAGGAATGGCCTATTATCTCACTCTCTTTTACCCTCCCTCCCGCACCGGCAAACGGATAGGCCAGTACTTCACCGCACCCCACGCATCTGCTGCCGTCGTGGGGCTCGTTTCTGCAGGTTTCCAGAAAATGGAAGGATTGCGAGGTCTTGTCGGATTTCAGTGGATGTTTCTTCTCTACGGCGACACAGGTACTCTCACAGGAATTAGTCTTCTCTGGTGGCTTCCGGAGCGCCCACTTCCCCCTGGAGAAAAACCACCACCCAGATGGCGACTTTTAAGATGGATCCCTCGACCGCGCCCGGTGCTGAAGGGACGGGATGCGGAAATTCATTACCGTGATTTGAAACGTGTTTACCACAACCCGCGATGGAACATGCGAGATCTTGCTGGCGTGTTGATGGACTGGCGCCTGTGGCCGCTGACAATAATGTACTTTGGGGTTGTTGGTGTGGGAATCGGCATCCAGAATTACGGAACTGTCATTATCCGAGGCTCCAATCCGTCATTAACGGGTGTCCAGCTAAGTTTACTCTTCGCCCCAATCTGGATTGTATGTATACATTACCCCTTTTTTCTTCTACTTTCATCCGTTAAAAGACCACACACACAACCAGCTACCCTGTCGAACAAGATGCTAACTCCACCAACAGATGGACCTCATCGCCATCCTCATCGTCACTCCCTTCTCCGACCGCTTCCATCATCACCGCGGCATCTTCTTCATCGTCCCCGTCCTCTTCCAAATCCTCGGCCTGCTCCTGACAACCTATGCCGGCTCAGTCACGAACTCCTGGCCACGCTACGGCGGTCTGCTGATTGTCGGCTTCGGCCTTGGTCCCACCGTGCCCATAACCATGACATGGACAAACGAGCTCTTCCAACCATGCCATGGCGAGGTGGGCGTCGCAGCCGCATCCGCACTGGTCTCCGGCCTGGGCAACTTGGGGAGTATCCTCACCACATACGCTCTGTATACTGGCTGGGCCAGTGACCGCCAGGCGATGGGGATGAAGAAGTATCGAAAGAGTAATTTGGTTATGATAGGAATACTCTGTGGTAGCATTGTGGCCGCCGTTACCTTGGAAGTGTTGTTGAGGCTTTTTGGGGGGAAGAATACGGCTGCGAGAAGGGATGAGGATGGGAATGGGACTAATGGCGATGGGGCATCTAAGAGAGAGGCGGAGCAGAGAGGGTTGAAGGGATTATGGCTGCTGAAGTTATTCGAGAAGTAGGTAACCTCTTTTTTTTTTCTTCTTTTTTTTTTTTTTTTTTTAATTTATTTATGTACTTGTGGTTTTGAGGCGAAAAAAAAAGTATTTAAAAATAGGTTTCGATCGATCAAAAATGGGACTTCACTATATTATCATTATTCAATATGCTCCGTAGTTTACTACATTTCGACTCATATTCGAGATATATATAAATATGAAACCACGGCGCAACTTGATACTCCTTTGCCGCGCGCTTACACGAATTAACCGCGTTCGACTTACCCCTCAAGGTCTTAATTTCACGTTTTCTGCACCTTTTATGTCGTTTCGACAATATCAACCAATATAGTATGATGGCATCTCGTGCGATATAGTTAGTTACTAGTTAACTATCTACCAAGAACCAAATTCATAATTCAACTCGTATCAACATCGAACTAAAAAGGAGGAGGAAACAAAATCTCACACCAAAACCGAACCTCACCAGCATGGATTTTTGCCTGTTTACACTGAAGA